ATCACCTGGCTAGAAATGTTTGAAAGACCAACAAAAAGTGGGTAAAAGCATGATTTAATGAAAAGAAAGTAGGCTTTAGAGTCTGGCTTTGGATCAAATCCTTGCTTTTGCACCATACCAGCATGAGACTGGTTAGCTGTCTTAAGCTCCCTTAACTTTTCTTCAGCTGTAACATGGAAACAGTACTTATTTTTCAGGGTTTCTTTAAAGCAGAGGTGGGGAACATCCAGCCCTCGGGCCAAAATCATTTGGTCTAGCCCAGCCAGGGCAACTGCAGGTGGGACTTGAAATTCAGTAAATCTAGGAGCTTTTTTCATAGCTAATTTTTAAGTTGATAATTTTGTATGGCCCCCAAATGATGTTATAAGTACCCAAGTGGCCCGTGGCAGAACAAAGGTTTCCCACCCCTGTTTTAAAGGCTTTATTAAGCAATATATGTAGAGCATCAAGCATAGTACATTACATAAAGGCTTCATTCAGCTATTATTATTTATACATTATAATTATATAAATATATCCAGTCCGTGTACAGAAATGATTTAGATAGCTTACAATAACATATCCTTTTGTAAGTAGAACAAATATGCCCCCTGCAGTCTTAAATAAAAGTGAAGTGCTTTTTTAAAAAATCTATTGTACATTGATATAGTTAATACTCCTGTACCAGCTATATGTAGGAACCTAAGTACTAGAGATTCAAGATAAGGCATAGTCCTTGCCCTCAAAGCTCCTATAATTTTTAGAAATCGAATTTAGAACTGCTTTGATGACAACGTAGTATAGTGGCTCAGAGCACGGCTCAGAGCACAGCCTCTGAAGTACTTTCTAGGTTAGAATTCAGCCTCCTTGTGTAAAGTCATGTGTCCGTAGGCAAGTTAACCTCTTAGTGCTTCATTTTTCTCATCTAGAAAATGGGGGTAATAGTATAATTGTTACCTCCCTCATATAGTTCTTTTGATACTTAAATGAGCTAATATTTGTAAAGTATTTAGAATAGTGCCTAGCATGTGGTAAGCACTATGTAAGCATTAAATAAAAGATATACTGCACCATAACAGGCTTTTGCAGTTTTCGGCTGTGTTCCAGACAACGTCTTTGGACTGGGTTATACTGATACTGTCTGCTTTACCTGTGCTGCTTTATCTGCCTAGGGAAACTAGAGCTAAACCAGTTTTGACTCTACCACTAATTCCAAATAATAAAATACAGTCTTTTGGAATTTTACATCTAATAGGAGTCCACATGTACTGTAACACGTTAATAAACATAACTGTTCATTTCACATCTTTTTCTGAGTTAATCAGCTACAAGGAGTCTGAAAATTGAGCAGCACCCTAATTTAATAAAAACCAGGAGTAGACTTCCTGTTATGGCAAGATATACTCTATATAGAAACAAGATTTCATATAATCAGGATAATATAAATAAGGTTTATTTTTATTCATGTACAGTAGAATAAGTTCAAGTTGAAATAATATTTTACTTTATTGACTCAGTTTGATGCAATATTAATTGCATTACTGATTTGGTTTAAGGTTGTTACATATATTAAATTATCCCTGGATGATAGTGTTGAGGAAAAACACTTAAAACACTTAAAATTGTTTAATATTTTTAAAACAAAAAAAGAATCCCAAACCTTTACCAATACAGGGATGGGCAAAGTAGGTTCATAGTTATGAGTATGCAAAACAGTTAATTAGGAATTATTATATTCCAACTGTAAACAGGTTCCTACTTTTGCCCACCCCTAAATAACAGTTTTGGATCCCTTTTATCTCATGCTCAAATTTTATGTTAAAAATAGCAATGATTTTTTTTTAAATTTTGGATCTGATCATAATTTATTTTGGAAAATCTGTGTCTTAAAACCTGTCCACTCAGTCACAAGAGAAACTGTATTTGTGGTAGGTTGTTTAACTCGTCTTCTCAGCATTATGCTAGTTATATTCTTGTACTTTTTGTACTTACCAAGTAACTTGGACTATGTTCCATCACACTTTTGAACTTTGACCTTTATTGTGCTTCTTGGGAAGTAAAGCACTCTTAAACACATCTAATGTGTGGATTACACACCTGTATTTCATAATGTGATCGAGATTTAAGTCATAAATGCCAACAAGTCAACCAAAATGTTCACCAATTTCCAAAGTTTAATATCCACAGGGAGTAGCACTAACAGTTTCTATTTATATAAGCAGCTCTTAAGATAGATCTTTTTAAGTTAGGTACTTCTTTCCAACTAAATAGGAAGATCTTGGGGAGGATGCAAAATATTTGGATTATTTGATTTCCTGTTATAATGTGGTAGAGACTGATAGATTGAGACAAGTTTTTTCATAATGATTTAGAATGCTAAATAGTGATAGAGAAACATCCTTAATGAGATTTGAACCTGGTTTTGACATTTTTATTCCCTGGCAGGCCACTGTGTGTGTATGTATGATCTATAATAACAGAGTAGTGGTAGAAGCTACCACTTGAGCACACACTGGGTGCCAAGTATTTAATCCTCTCATTTGTCCATCTAGGCCCTGATATCTCCAAGTTTATAAATCCAGAAACTGAGTCTTGGCCCCTTGAGTCCACGGTCCTCTATTAAAGTATTATAATTACATCAGCCATTTACTAACAGGAATTAACTAGTAGTAAGTGAAATTTGGGATTATTACCAGGAGCAAGATAGTACAGTAGTAAAAAACTCCTTTTAGGATGCCTTTTTACCATCAAACTGGTCTTGTGGATAGTTGGAAATCGATACACTTTTTAAGGTAACACATTAGAGGAAATTTAATTTTTTTTTAAATATATCTTTATTGATTTCAGAGAGAGGAAGGGAGAGGGAGAGAGAGATAGAAACATCAATGATGAGAGAGTCATTGATCAGCTGCCTCCTGCACTCCCCCGACTGGGAATCGAGCCCGCAACCCAGGCATGTGCTCTGACCAGGAATCGAACCGCAATCTCCTGAATCTGAGGCCAACGCTAAACCGCTGAGCCACACCAGGCAGGAAATTTAATTTTAATCAAAATCATTAATTCTGGTTGCTACTTTCTTGATGAGTTGTTGAGGAATTCCATTTTATGTTGGGCAGTGCTGTTCAGTTAGTGGACTCCAGTTACTTGAATCTTTGTTACTTGTTTATTGCTCTACCTCATTTGGGCAAACTGTGGCCTAAGACTTGACAAATGTGTCCTGCCACCTGCTTTAGTACATAAAGTTTCATTGGAACACACCCACACTTATTTGTTTATGGATGGCCTGAAAAGCCAAAAATATTTGCTATCTGACCCTATATAGAAAAAATTGCCTGCTTCATTCAAAAGTAGATTTGAAGCAATTTAATGTAATATCTAATCCTAAAGACATAATGTTCTATTTCCTCTAGTACATTCCGCTGATTTAAGAATTTGCTCACTGGTGTACCTAAGAGTTGTTATGTGTAATATTGCCCAAATGATTGAATGTGTTTTGGGGTCATTTCTCTCTTCCTTTGATAAATGTTTTTTTCTATCTCATTAAAAGGATAACAAAGAAGATACAAGAAAGATTCTGTTCTAATTTACAGAGAAATAAAATTTGGTCTTACGTGAGTTTTTGTTTACCTTCCCTGCCCAGGAGACGCCAACACTGCTCATGTTTCTAATTAGATGGTTATCTGATCCCTTTAAAAGTAATGTCTGTCCATTCCCACTGCTGAAGCCTTAAGTGCTGGTCCCCTTGACACACTCAGGTTTCACAAGCCTTGGGATCTTGAGTCTACTCTTTACTGGAGGTTTCATAATTGATACTGAGAACTTTTCTCATATCACAGACATGAATATAATAAAGATTTTAGAGTAACTTGCAGAGATAGCAGAAGAGTACCCTGAGACTAATTATGCAGTGTTAAGTTTTTTGCTCTGATACCTCTTTCAAAAGAGAGATTTTAGTTTGGAAAATATGTTTGTGAATTTTTTTCCTTTTGGTTTTCCTGTTTGCTGACTATACTAAACTACAGAAATCAAGTGTTAACTTGTTTGCCTTACTTGGCAGGAAGTACCACCATGATGTGGTATTTTCTTGTATACTGGGTGTCATTTCAGAAATACACTTAATCTTCCAACAAGTTTTCACTTATTAACAATTTGTATTCCTATTTGATTTTACATGTATCTGAAATAGGAGAGTGGGAATAAGTGTTAATTAAGGAAAATACTCCAAATGCCAACATTCTTGGTGAAAATGCTTGGGAATACATGGGTTTTGCTTGGAAGAAAGGCATTGCTTTTTTCAAAAATACATATCTACATATTATAGAAAAGTACAGAAATGGAATTTGTAGAAGATAACACAGATCATCTGAATAATAAATGAGCTGTTGAACTTCTAAGTAAAAATTGACATTCTTTCCTAACATAACAAACATTTTTGTTTGTTTGTTATGTTAGCAGCAGATATGTTTCTGAAAGGCTTTCAGAATTCAAGTTTATGGCCAAGAAAAAAGTTTGTTAACCATAATAGCATACTTTTACAAGCATCCAATCTTATTGTTCCTAAATCTAGAGTATGTGAGTGGTAATAAGAAACATCCCAGTGTGGTGTAAAGAATATGAATGCTATCTTGTATTTGTGTTTGTTTTTGCTTTGGACAAATCGTACAAACTTTGAGACTGCCTTCTCACTTTACAATTGGGTAATAATTTCTTTTTTGTAGAATTTTCTAATGGATTAAATAACATAATGTTTCTAAAGTACCAGGTATGGTACTTGGTGTGTAACTACATTTATTTTTCACCACTGTATCACCATGATTAAAGTAATCATTTTAAAATGGCTGTTCTAAGAGAAGTTGTGCTGCTTTCACTTGGTGTTTCCTGTACCTGACTGGTAGTTTCCCTGCCTGTCTTATAGTAAAGGACAGAGGGAGGTGTGTGTGTGCGTGTGTAATGATAAAAATTATGACATTATTAAAACGGGAGAAATTAAAATACATTTTTGGGGGGGTGTTTTGGTACAGACAGCTTTACTAAACCGCCTGGAGCGAATATTCGAAGCATGTTTTCCTTCCATATTTGTCCCTGATACTGAAGAGGAAGTTACTTCCCTGAAGCACTTGCTAGAAACAATCACCTTGCCAATAAAAACAAGAGAGGCCTTAGCTGAAAGTGGGTAAGTAAGTAGTAGACAGTTGTTAGATAGCATTTATATGTGTTAGTTTTGACTGTTCTAATTTATAAGGTTATCTTAAAACATTAAGGCTCTAAAAAACATTATGGTGTTTAAGTTTCAAAAATCATACTGTGCAAAAATACATGATTTTTTTAAAACCTCTCTGCTTCTCCATTTTTTAGCTTTTTTCTGGTATTTCTAAATCAGTATTCTAATCAGTCAATCTTACATTCTATCTTTTGACTTAGTAATGAGATAGATGAGAATGTAGATCTTACATCGACTATTTTCCTCTCTTTATCATCCCAATATACTTACAGTTTTCGGTTAAATTTTTATTTGGTATTTTCATTATTATAATCATGTTAATAATGTTCCTTGCTTTAGCCACTATTTCCATTATAGTACAAATTTTCCCTGGACTTAATAATTGACTCTATTTTTCCATTTCTAAGTCTTTTCCTACCAGCCAACAGCCTGCCTGTTAAATAGTTTTACTTGTGATCAAACCTATCAGGCTGGCCATTCCATTTTTCGCATGGGTTCCTCCATCTTCCTATTCCAGGCCTCTTTAAAACATGTTGTCTTGGGCATTTCTTTTTCTTAGATCCCATTTTGGTGGCACACATCCTCTAATAGCCTCCTGAGAAAAAAGGTACATAGGAGACAACATTTTATTTACTCTCACATTAAATTTATAATTTAGGATTTTTTGTTGCCAGCGTTCTGAAATTTCATAATAAAATATGAGTCTTTTCATTCATTGGACTGAGCAGAATCTGGAGGCTTCTGCTCTTCAGTATGAGGCAGTTCTCTTGTATTGACAGTTACCTTCCCTCCATTGTCTCTGTTTTCTTTCTGGAACTCCTATTATTAGCTGTTAGAGGGTCTAGATTGATTTTCTAATTTTAATTTCAACGTTATTCTCATTCCCGGACTCTTTTGCATTTCATTGCTCTCACCTCTAGAGGCATTCTTTCCCTCCACAGGTCTTTCCTTCATCCCTCTCTGTCACCTTAGTATTTGTGGCTCAGGATCTTAAATTTATTTTCATTGAAGATGGAGATTATTTTTGCTTCTTGATTTTTGTTTTGGGGTGATATCTGAGAAGGGGAACAAAAAGGTTTAGGTTTTGCCAATTTAAAACTATTTAGAAATTTTTTTAGTATTATTATTGCTAGTTGTACAGGTAGTTCATACTCTTGGACCCAGGAATCTTTCCAGAAGATTCATTTTAAGGAAATAACACAACTCAACAACCACACACATCATAAAATACAAGAAGATACTCTTGCCTTACTAACAATAAGAGCTGAACAGTAAATCTTATTTAAAACTGTAGGATTATAACTAAATAAATGATAGTGCATCCCCCTTAATAGAGCATTACACAGCCATTGAAAAAGATACATTTGTAAATGAGGAAATGCTTAAAATCTGAAAAAAGAATACAAAATTATATATATACATATATATCATATATATGTATGTATGTATGTGCTATAATTGTAACTTTTTGGGGGATCAAGACGTAAGGAGAAAACACAAATATTAAATGGCTGTAGTAGGAAGGTAGAATGCTGAGTTGATTTCCTTCCTCCCTTTAAATATTTTTGCTTTAATATAAAATACAAATAACATACAGGCTAAATTTTTGCTTGATTACTGGCATTTTGTTTCAAATGAATTTAACTTAGTTACTTTTCTAATGACTAAGTGTTGGCTGTTGATTTCATTCAGATAATAGTTGTATATTCATGTTAGACTCAAGATTAATTGTAATGTATAATATGTCACAGTCACGTTAAAAGTAGAATTCATGGTGAAAGCTATTGAGTAAACCATTGTTGATGGCTTCATCGTGACTTTACAGGGAACTGCTGGATGTGTGGACCGAGCTACAGGATATCCACGATGCACATGGCTTGAAATATCAGTGGGGCGGCTCCCATAGCAACAAGAAGCTTTTGTGCTCCTTGGGAATAGACACCAGAAACATTGTGAGTTTGTCAGTACTTCAGAAAATCCTTTAACCAGCCTTTGGATGTTTTTAAATTGTTACACTTCTATTCAAGCTGTCATAAACCAGTTCCTCAGAAAAATAAATATTAGTTGATTTAAATGTTCATGTATTTTGAATATGCCAACTTTTAAATATAAATCTATCTAGATTTTTCTCCAATCAGTACTTCTTATTTTTAGAAAAAGTTGTTTAGTGTTTTTCCTTACTTATAAAATGAAGGAATTGGACTAGGAGATCAGAAATACAGCCCGATATGGGCAATTTGACAATTTCTTCAATTTATCACTTATGATGTACGTAGTAAAGCATTGCAAGTGTATTTTGGAAAGCATTTCATTTTATGAAGATCATTCTCTAAATATATGTTCTTTCTCTCTAACACATGTGTAGCTCTTCACGGGCAATAAGAAGCAACCTGTTATAGTGCCCATGTATGCAGCAGGATTGGTAAGTACAAAAAGTTTCCGAGTGTTTATGATTGCTGTATTTATTCTGTAAAATCATTTTACATAGTGTGACATGTATTTTAAGGGTGTTTAGTATGGGAATGTTAAGGGAATAAATGTCATATCCTTTATGATCTCATAAATGCCTTTAAGTCCTGGTCTGAGGATATTCTTCTATATTCCATTAGTTACAGACTTGTTTTAGAATGAAAAGTACTTTTTATCTTAGTACCATTAGTGCTCATAACTCTTTGTTAAACGCACCCCTAGATGTCTTTCTCTCTTTTTTCTTGTTTTTTGTTGTTGTTTGTTTTGTTTTGTTTTTTATAAATTTGCTTTTAAATAGAAAAAGCTAAAGTATCTAAAGTACCATTTGTTTTAATCTAGTTGTGATCGATTTAAATAATGAAATATTGAGACTATGGATGTATATAAAAGCTTGGAAATACCAAATTATAGTAACTGAAAACGACCAGGACCCATAATTGGTCCTTAGTTTTACCATTAATGTTTTAAATGTGTTGAATTTTGTTTTTGTTTTTTTGTTTTAGATATGCCAGGTAGTCCAGGATAACTGAGGAATTTTCATTCTCTACCTTATCAAGATTCAGTCACATTTTAAAGTTGGATGTGTTTGTGTTTTTTGGTGTGAATTTGCTGTGGAACTTGACCTTTCTTCAATCTAAAAACTTTTTCCATAAATAAGCTTTAATTATTGATAGTGAATTAGATCATTTTGCTTTGTTTTATTTTTGTAGTTTTGTTTGTTTTATGGAATTGGACAAAAGCTTGTCTGTGCTCATTCTTACCAGTTTATGCTCTTTAATAAATAGTTATCATGTATTTTCAAAACACCTTGATTATCCCTACACTCTTTTCTGTTGTGGGTAAATACAGTCCAGAACATTTCTTTAAAGTTTTGGTTATTCATAATTTCTTTTTTTCTCAAGGAATAGCATTCCAGAACTTGGTGTTATTGTCACATCCTAAGTAGGAAATATGAATTTGGTTTGTGGAAGCTTTCATTCAGCTTAATGCTTATGTGTAGGCTCATCACATTAGCCAATTCTTGAAGTTTTGTGAGGAGTTTGAGACGAATATTTATGCTTTATTTTGCTACCTTAATTACGATCTTTATAAGTAATAATTTACCATTTTTATAAGCTTTTAATACCAAAGTTGATTTAGTGAGTGCATCATCTTCTCGTTTATTTTAGTGGTGCCTTACATTTAGAAACTTACTCTTTTTCATATCTGGCTTCAAGTTTTAATTATACCTTAATTTTTCCCATGTTGCTTTACATGTATGAGATGTTCAATATCTTTTGATCTCATCTGGAGGAATAGTATCGGAAATGATCATTTAATTTACTGGTTCTTGGATTTTTACGTGAATTGCTTGGAAGATGTTAAAAATACAGAGTGCTGGCACCACTCTCAGAGTTTCTTATTCAGTAGGTCTGAAGCGGGGCTCGAGAATTTGCACATCTGACAAGTTCCCAGGCGATCCAGAAACTACTGATTGGGGACTGCTTTGAGAACCACTGGTTTAAGTGATAGTTCACATTAGAAAAGTTGGCTAAGACAAGTAATTGTTTGCCAAATGCATTGTCTCCTTGCATAAGGGCACTCTAGAAAGCCTGTATAATGTATGGGGTATTGAGTTAGACCATGCATTCATGAATTCAATCTGTAAATTGCTTTAGATAGCTTATGCCCTATATTTTTTTGGGAGGGAAGGAGGGAGGGAGTTCTGAAAACTTGTTTTTAGTAATTTATAGATTCTAACATTATTGACTTAGCAGTTTTGATTTTGCGTCCCCCCTCCCCTCACCCCACTCCCATAAAAGGGAGACTTTTATTTGGTCTGGTTGATAAATATTCAGGAGCTTCTCAAGTATTACATTAAAATGTGTAAAAGCTTGGCTTTGTTCAGGCCAGTAACATTATATTTAGTATTCGGTAGAGTGTTGATGCAAAATGCTGATTTTTTTTTCTTCTTCTTTGTTTCTATACCCATTCTGAATGTCTTTCTTACTCAAAAAGTATATTAGATTTTTACACACCTAGTGAAATGTGTACGATGTTTTCCCCTATGAACTGGTTGTTTCTCTGATTTGCCAGTCCAAAGAACTAAGTTATATTAAGGCTCCCATTTTTTAGCTGAGCTAGAATCAAACACTAAAATCACACTGAAGCATGTAGATGCCATTACATTATATAATGTGTATTAAAATCAGCTCTCACTTCTCCAAATACCACCATGGTATAATGTGTATGAAGGGTGCCCTCTCCTGCAGTTTCAGTGTCGGAAACATCATAAAATTGTTGGATTCTTAGGGCTGGGATGTGATACACTGTTGTGCTCGCCTCTTAAAGACTCTCCCCACCCCCACCATCACAACTTGTGCTTTTGCTTTTGTGATAACCAGGCACTTTAAAACAAACCTGATTTAAAATACAAGGTCTTACTTCAAAAAGTTGGGTCCCCAAGGTATTACTGAGAAACGTTTCCCATTATAGTGCTATAAAATTTTCTCTAAACAAAATTTAAGAATAGTTCCTTTTGTCTTTAGTAACTTTCCAGAAGACTTGTTTTTTCCGTTCTACTTTCTGATTAAATTTCTTGTAAAGTTTATGGGTTGATATCCCCCCCCAAATTAATGGCTAATATACCTTTTCCAGGGTATGTTAGAGCCCACCAAGGAACCATTGAAACCACTATCTGCTGCAGAAAAAATTGCTTCCATCGGTCAGACAACCACCATGTCACCAGAGATGAACACATGCACATCTGACCAATTCCAGGTAAAAATATCTGTATATGTATAGATATGCATGAACGTATGTCCACACACACTGTTCTTTCCTTAATATATAACTTTACGTTTTTAAAATGTTTTAAAAATTTTATTTTATGATGGCCATAATTTTAATTACTTATTCAGTAACATCCCTTGGAATACAATGAACAAATTACCTTTAATTCCCAAGAACAGAAAGGCACAAACTGAGAAGTGGCTGGTTGTGGGTAAGTCTTTAAACCTGTCTTCGCCTTAGTCTCTTTCCTGCAAAATGAAGACTTTGAAACAAACATCTCTAAGAAGCCCTTGCAGCGTGAACATTGTGCGATCATAATTAGTAACACACAAACCTAGTAAGTGCTGCATTTCCCCCAAAATGGTAGACAGTGCATTTTTACCAACTCTTCACATCTGCTATTATGTGTTTTTCCTGAAGCCAGAAAATTTTATAAAGTAATAAAATTTAGGTGTGTTTATTACATCAAAAACTGTTGTTTGGGAATTTGAATAAAACTGTTAAGTTGAAAATGAGGTGACACTTAACAAAACATTCTGTTGATTTACCTCTCTTATTCTTTACCTCCTTAGCACATTTAAGCACAAATTTTATTTTAGTCTAATATGTATAATATCAGAGCCTCCCTCTCACTTTTTATCTGGGGAAAAGAGCCATTTTGGTTTACTTGCTTTTCCCACATCAGATCAGAGACTGATTCAGTTTTGGTTAAAGACTGTTTTTTAGAAGATTGATATTTTTAAGTGAATATTACCATTTCTAGAACATATCCTTGCTGTACTTGTCATTTCCTAACCTTAAATATCATTTTCATTTACATCTAACACAAAAGTGTATATTTGGACAGCCTTTCCCAAAATGTGTGCTTCATTAAATACTAACCCCCAGAGATATGCCACTAAAGAAGGGTTTTAGAGCTAAGTAAGTTTGGGAAACTTCATATCATGCCCTACAACCACCCTTAGAGATTCACAGCACACACATTAAGGACTCTGAAGAATCCTGTAGTGAATAACCCTATTTAATTTTAATTCATTTCTCAAATGTACTTGGCCACAGGACCCTTTTCTGCAGGGACTAGGGGATTAGAGTCCTAACACCTGCAGCACGAGTGTTTTGAAGAACATACTTTAGAAAATAATGATATAAAGCAAGGTCCTTCCCTTTCAAGTGCGTTTCAAGAAACATAATGTTCCTACTGTGTACCACTGTGGCTTGTACTTGGGCACAGCTTAAACATTCTTTTGAAGCCAGTTTATAACTGGCACTGAGTTTGTGGTCAAGGAGGCCTGATGCATAAAGTGCGAGGCCTCGGTGTGGGGCAGCAGGCAAGGTGGCTTGGGCAGAATATCTCAGCAGGGAGACTGTCCTTAGTATCCTCCTTCCGTTGCCCTCTGGGTATCAGCTGCTCTCCCTCGCCTGCCTCATCTACGCAGACTCCAAAATCACTTCACAGCTCGTTTCACTTCTGCCTACACAGCAGTCTCACACGCACGGTGCTGCTTCATTTACTGAAAATGGTGCTGTTCTTATTGGAGGCCGCTCGTTGCTAGTTTCGCTTTCCTCCTTCCCCTCTTCTATCCACTTACATGTATTACAGCCCCATAAACTATTGTTTATTTTATCAGAACTGGCTGTCACCCATCATTTTTGCCCCTCACTGATTTGATTGATGTTATGTATTTCATTCTAGTCATACCTCGTACGTATCTTTATTATATAATTTAATTATAGACATGACTAAAAGTAGTCTGGATAACCTAATACAAATATGTGTTAATTTAATGAAAGACTTTTCATGGAAATTAATGTGTTAATGTAATGGACGTTAGTTGCAGCTCCATAGTGTGTTACCATCTCTATTCATGCACATACTCCCCTATGTACATGTAATCAAAGAATTACCATCTACCTATTTATAAGCAAGTATAGAAATTTTTAGCAACATTTAAGCATATTTCACTCTTTTGTTAGAAGATGGAACTTGGTCTCTTACTACTTATAGCAAAAAAAAGGTCTTTTTAATCAAACATATCCTTTTATTCTGTTAGTGTACACATTTCTTTTTTTAAAAAAAGTAATAGTGAATTAAAAAGTTTATTTTGTACTTTTTTTGTTGTAGTTTGCAATCCTCATTAGCTTTAGTTTTTTAGGCTTTTCTGGGAACCAGTGAAAATAATATTTCCCAATGGAAGTTGTTCAAACTTATTTCTGAATTGAAAAAACTGTTTAAGTCTTCATTCTAACATACACACACACACTCAAATAGATTTCCATACGCATATCAGAATTTGTGCTAAGATGCCTGACTGCCGTCACTAAATCGAATGATCTTTGTTTGGCTCCATACTTGTGATTCAGGTTAAAATATTTAACAAGCATCTGATATGCATTGCAAAGATCTCCTTATATAAAGTGCTACTTCTTACCACTATTCTTTGGCATGCAGCATATAAGTTACTTCTACTTTACTCTTTGGTCATGCGGTAATGCTGTTATGTCTTCCCGCTAGTCATGGTTTTCAGATAAAAAAGCTATAGCCTCTAGTGCTAGAGGCTTAACAAAATATGTCAGGAAAGATCTGTTTAATATCTTCTTTTTTTCAAAAAATATATACCAAACTTTGTATAAAGTTTTTGTTTCTGGCAGCACTAAACATTGACTTTCAAACTTAGCGTAGCTGCATAATTCTCCTTGTGACTGCATGCTTTTTTATCTGTCTCTTCTTTTCTACCTCAATTTTGGTACCCACTGAATTTTTATATTCTTCTAAATTAGTTTGTATTCATTAATCTTTTAACCATTGCATCTCTTGTTTAGGCATTTAGAAATTTATTAACTGTTAATGGTGTTTTTTTCTAAGATACTTTTACCTGAAAAGACAGCTTATGGGTAAAAAGCAGTAGTGAGTCTTCTGTTGTTTTGGTTCATTTTGTTTTTATCTTTATCCACTGAATTTCAAGGTCACACCATCCACGGTGTCATTAGTGATCCCCCTCTTAGTGGGATCAGTACTGATAACCACATTTCATTCACTGCTGAGTAGACTCAACTCTCTGACTAGCAGTTATTCACCTAGTCACCATTAGCAAACTTCCTTTTTTAGGCTACTTGATGCTGCTATTTCAGTTGTGAATCAGAGTTTTAGTGTTAGAAGAACAAAAAAAATTATAATCTATCATTGTGCTTTCCTTTTACAATGAGAAAACATATTTGGAAAGACTAAATAATATACCCAAAATCATATATCAGTTATACAGCTAAGACCAGAGAACCTAAGCCTCCTATATATTTTTTTTTTGCTTTTTTTATGACCTTGGTTTTTTTTAGTGCTTTTCTCTCTTCAGTAATCATTCATACCACATTGCTTCAAGTTGTTTTAAAATGCTATATTCCAATGCTTTTTCTTTGAGTTGCCTTGTCAATGTCATTAGTTAGCCCATAATTTTGTAGGTGTCCTGTTTTTCATTTGTCTCATTTCTACAAAATGTTTGTGTTTTAGCACCTCATTATTACACAGGGTGGGGCAAAAGTAGGTTTACAGTTGTGAGTATGTGAAACACAGTTTATTCTTGTATTATTTTATATTAATTATTGTATTATTTTCCCTACGAACAACTGTAAAGCTACTTTTGCCCCACCTATATTACTGGCTATTTCTTTAAAATGCCATACACCTGTGTGAGAGGCTAAAATTTTAGCAAATGACTGAAATATTTTGTAAGTATCCAGCTACTTTACGTCATTTAGATAAAACATGTTAATGAAAGTTTTACTCCATTTTTCTGGAAATTTTGTTACTATATAAATTGTGTTTTGTCCATTCATTCAATGTTGCATATGACTAAAGGTGTCACTGATGTAGAAGTAGAATATATAAGTTGAATCTGTTGGAATGCCTAGAGCTTTTTGTTTACTTGTTTGTTTTTGTGATCAGCTAAAGAAGGTCTTTTCTAAATGTTATCAGTCTTCCAATTAGGTTATAAACTAGATTTTTACCAGCACTTTTTGTTAAAATAATTATAGATTCACAAGAAGCTGCAAAGAAAATATAGAAGAGGTGCCTTGTATCCTTCACCAGTTTCCCTCATGGTTACATCTTACATAATTATAGTACATCGAAACCAGTGATATGACAGTTGTACAGTATGTGTGCATAGTTCTGTGTCATTTTTATCATATGGAAAGAGTCATATAACCACAACTGCAATATAGATACAGAACTCTTCGACTGGCACAAAGAACTCCCTTAATACTTCCTTCTCCACTGTCCCCACCTCGCCCCACTCGCACAGCTATCGCTAACCCCTGGCACCCACTAATGTTAGCATTTGGCTTTGTTTATATCCCCCCCAACCTCCAGGCCTGATCTGATTTGGGGTGACTAGATGCTTATAGTAATATGCCTATCATTGGTATCCCCGTTATCAAGACCGTTGTTATTATAATATGGTTTTAGACTTTCCAAAATAATGGATTCATGTTCCTTTCCTATGGGGAACAATGCCTTTACACAGAAAAGAAATGAGTATGAAGTTTTAATAGTACCTACCTTGCAATAAAGTATATATATGTATGTATGTACATATTTACACATGTATATATGTATATACACACACACGCATACACATACATACAGTAAGACAATACAGAAAAAAAGATGACATGTTGATACTGCTAATAAAACACAGTTTATTTCAGTAAAAGTTGTCAACACCGCCCCAAAATAAAACCAAACACCACAGTTTTTTTTCATCAAGAATATTTTTAAAGTGATACTCATTTTTAAAATGTTTTGTACTACTTTCCATCTTATATGTACAATTTGGAGAATTGTAAATAACCAGGGACCTTGGACTTTTATATATAACGAGACCAACTAAATTAATCATACACGATCATACAATTACTTAGTAGTTAGTCTCAAATAACCCAAATTTCGTCAATTTTAGTAGGG